TCCATACCCCCTAGGCTAACAACCATCTGGGATAAAAATCATATGCAGCTAAAATGCTGATACCATGATAAAATTACATGCACGTGACACCGATATAATGATAATGAGTCTCGGTAATTGCAGAGTGCATGCACGCGTGATCAAAGTCGTCCTATTCGCTTGCAAAAACATATTACTACTATTGTTATTAGGATCGTGGCTATCCCTCGGTCAGCGTGCTCGCTTTTCACTACCCGGCCCCATGTTCGATTCCCGGTCGAGCCAAGATTATAGTGTGCGTTTTCCTTGCTATGTCCCAGTATATGTTGCTGTGTGACGTTAAGAAAATGCACTTCTCTGGTGGAGAAGACTGGAATACGACGTGGGGATGTCTACGTGCTAACCACACGTGTCCCCCTTAACCTACGGCCGCGAGGCAGGGACGTCGCCGGTAGGCCTGAGCCCGTTCACGGGCTGTCGCTCCAAGTACATACATACATTATTGTTATTATTAGTATAATACATAAAGAGCTTACCTTCAACATTTCTTTTCGATTGTTAACCTCCCAGTCCCTCTCCAGTGGTGATTGAGAAATAGTTTGAAAGTTGAGGATGGAGCGGCTTCAAAATCTGCTGGTCTCTCTTCCCCCTACGATTTGCCCAAGTGAAAGATGACTGCCTGTAAGATACGAGTTTGCTTCTGTGGCAACCCGCAACGCACCCTTGTACGACGAAATGCGGCGAAGGGGCGTGCAGGGGACTGGATCGGGGACGGAGCATGGACGGGACGGTGGCAGGGCGGGAGGAGGTAGGGCGGGTCCGGAAGGAGAGGTCAGTAGTGCAGATCAGGAAGGGGAAGGCGGGAGGGGACAGGGAGTGGCAGGGTTTGCTAGAGCCATGGCGGAGAGCAAGGGAAAATGCGGGACCGTGGGTGATAAAGGAAGGGGTCAGAAAATTGAATTGAATGGCACCCATTGTTCAAAAGCAAAACTCGCACATATTCTGCTAAATGCAATGTTTCTGTAGGGAATATTTTGGTCCATTCCACTCCAGAAAGTAAAGTAGATTTTTCTGAAAAACCCTTGTAGTATAATCTTGGCTGAATACAAGAACTTTTTCGAAAATATGGTAGTAAAAGCCTGTCTCTCAAGTTCAATTATTACCATCTAGTTTATTTTGAAAATATTTTTGTAATGTAATCTTTGTTGTTTTGTTCATAAATTATCATATCATTATGTAATTACGTAGTTTAATTTTCATTTTTATGGTTTTAAATTTGAAAAAAGAGGTACTAAAATTCAAATACAATGAGCCTAAATATTTGTAATAAACCATCATTTTCATTATTTCTGAAAACTTCTTACCAAGCCCCAGCATCCTCATATGAGAACCGTCCGCCACATTTACACATATTAATAATATGAATTAGAACCAGAGGGCAAATATTATATTTGTTTAAAACGTTGTAATATTATTTATGGAAGTTTGAAATATAGAAGTTTGATACAAAATTGTAATGAAATTGGTCCTAAGGTTTTCAGAATCTCGCCACTACTGTCCTTGGGTATGCGGTCAGCCATGTTGCTGATCTCAACACCTTCCACACTGATGAGACAAATTGAAGTCGAAACAGGATAGCAAAAGATGACATAGGATTTTGCTATACTGTTTCAACTTTAATTCATCTCATCAGCTTGGAAGGTGTTGAGATCAACAACATTTCTGACCACGTACCCAAGGACAGTACGTAATGGGGAGATTCTAGAAACCTTAAGATCAAAATTTGTTCTCCACGAAGCACACGCTTTGCCATTTGGCTCTCGCCGTTTGGCCTTTGGTTACTATATAATGAAATTGATTTTGATATACATGCAATCACGTGCTTCGAGCGTGCTTCGAAAAACCCCGATGTTCTGCTTGTCGTCCCTTCACCGCTAGACTCCGGTGACTGCGCAGGCGGTAGCACCGGCGGGGTGTGGGTGGAGGTGAACTCGGGGAGGGAAAATCGCGGCCATAATCCACCCTACTCAGCGCCGCCGGCCTCAATGTTGCCTGCGCGCGACTTGCGTAAGCTCCCTCACGGGGCGCTAATAGGCGGCCTGGGCGCGAACTGGCCTCCCCCCTATGCGCCCACTCGCAAGACAAGGAGTCCGCTCGCCTCTTCCGCTTGGCGGTCAGATTTTATGATGAGGTTACGAAAGTGACCCGACTTCCAATCTGTCCGCACACTTTCCTCGCCGCCCCACCTCTTCCCACGCCCCAATCCCACGCCCCTCCGCCTCCCGCCACCCCATCCGCTCCCCGCCGGCCCCCTCCACTCCCGCCCCCTCCACTCCCGCCCCCCTCTTCTCCCACCGCCCCCCTGCTTCTCCCACCGCCCTCCTCCGCTCCCGTCACCGCCTTTTTCTCCGCCGCCCCCTCCGTACCCCGCGCCCGCGCCGCCCGCGCGCCACGCCGCCCGCGCCGCCCGCGCCCGCCGCGCCGCCCAGCCGCGCCTCCCGCGCCCCCGCGCCGCCCGCGCCGCCCTCCCGTCCCCGCCGCCCCCGCCGTCCCCGCCGTCCCCGCGTCCCCGCCGCCCCCGCCGCCCCGCCGCCCCCGCCGCCCCCGCCGTCCCCGCGTCCCCGCCACCCCGCCGCCCCCGGCCGCCCCGCCGTCCCCGCCGTCCCCACCCGTCCCCGCCGTCCCCCCGTCCCCGCCGTCCCCCCGTCCCCGTCCGCCCCCGCCGTCCCCGCCCGCCCCCGCCATTTCCTCGCCGTCCCCGCCCCTCTCCGCTGGTCCCGCCGTCCCCGCCAAGTTCGCCGCCCCCGCAGCCCCCACCCCCCACCGGCCCGCCGCTACCGCTGTCCCCACCGCCCCTGCCGCCCCCACTGCCCTCAGTCGCCCACTACCTTCGCTACCTCCGCCACCCCCGCAGCCCACATCGCCCCTCAGCCTCCCACACTGCCCCCGTCGCTCTCACCATCATCGTCGCCTCCATCGTCTCCTCCGCGAATGAAAGTCTTCTGGTCAGCATTACGACCACTTATGTGCACCACTTCTTATCGTGACCACTGAGGCTTTTCTCGGATCGTCCAACTCAACAATCTCTCAAAGGTCGTACGATGGTTTTGGAGAATAATCTTCTTTCAGCAAAAGAGAATACATATCTGAAGTTAATGTCGCTTCTAGTTGTAACTACCATTAGGGTTGGCAAAATATTTACAAACACGTATCTCTATTGCAATATATTGAAGTGGCGAACTTATCGCCGGTATATTACCTGCTACGAGTATTTAATGAAGCGTTTTTATTCGAGAGTGCATTGATTGCAAAGAAAAAGTGAAGTAGGAGTTGTACTGATTAGTGAATATACTATAAAAGTTTACACACTCGACCCTACTGCTCTTTAAGATTGAAAAACTGCCTCAATGTACAGAAACATATCGAAATAAATTTTCGAAATCTATGTGAATCGTCTTATCAGGAGATAGTGAGAGAAGAGAAGATGCCAGTAGACGACTGAGAATGGCAACGAATATTAGTTGCCTGTGACGTCAGGTAGAATGAAACAATCTCTAATATTTATAGAAAAGTGTTAATACAAGAAAAGTGATTAGCTATTGCTTCTCTTTAATCTTATATCAGATATCCGCACAAGCGCTCTAATCAGTGAAAGGGAAGACGTACCCTCTCTTAAGACTTCCCCATCACCGACCTCTACATATTAATATTTTTTTCGTCTTTATTAAGGCGAGGGTGTACACGTCGTAGGACCAAAATTTTAGATTTCCATTTTTGTGTTATTTTGGATCTTTAATATCCACTTCCTTTAGACTTGCCAAGTGCCACGCCCATTTTTACGTCCCCGTCCCCATCGCGGGTTCAAGAGTCGCCTCGGGCATGGTTGTATTTATTTGTGTTCGTTCCTTTCACCCCTCATCAGCACCCTCACGTCATTCAGTATTCTATGCAAAAAGACCGAAGGCCCTTCCCTTTAATGGAATCTTAGTTGGCTAATAAAAGAATGGGGTCACGAGATCGGTAAGCCGAGTGGCATGCTTCTAAGAGAAAAACAAAATCACTTTCACCACTATTTTTTAGACAGCTTTACTTTTATGAATTACATTTTAATCAACCTCAAAAATCACTATGTATCTTATGATCAGACTATCTGAAGCAATAATATCAAAGTATTTTGTTCTCATAAAGTATTAAGTTTATATCTAAACATTGGAGCATCGTCTCAATTTTACTCGTAGTGATAAAACTGAACTCCGAGCGTCTTTACATGCTCTAAAGGAAACCGCATTTACTAGGGGCTATCTAAAAATATAACTCATTATCTCATGTTTCAAGGCCTTCCTGTTCGTTTCATCGCCAGACTATGATTCGATTGTATCCACATCGATGTTGTATAAACAATTGACAATCAAGGTCCGTGTTATCTTGTAGTTTGTAAACATTTCAAATTCATGTGCTTTGGAGTGCATTATAAGAAAATATAGTACAAGAAATGAAATTGTACGCTTCCGTTAAGAATCAAGAGTATTTTTATATTTTGTCTCAATTACATATATTTGCGTTGTTTCGAACAGGGGCAATATATATTAATGTTTCATAGGTGAGTTCAAAGTTGATTCTGTACAATCACAGTACATACAATTTACAAAATATATGTAATACATTTCTTATATTACAATAGGTAAAATAACAATTTGTGTAATACATGCTTTATATCTCTTTTGCAGATGTGATTATTTCATTCTAACGTCGGGATCTTAACTTCTTAAACATGAACTGTAAAGTACTTTCTGGCGAACGCATGAGGTTTCTAAAATACCGAAGAAAGATGTAAAACACGTGTTATTGAAGATAGAACTTTATTCTAAAAACCAGCGAATTTTAGAAAAGATTCATTTGAAAATTGGATATTACTTTGCTTTCAGATATATACAATAATTCGTAGATTATCATAATGGAACGAACAAATTACGGGGTGACTAAAGTTTTCTCACACACATTACATCGCTTTCCCCTTGGATATGCCTTTCTGTGGTTGTCTTAAGAAACCAACCAGTCTTGAAGATCTACTAAAACACAAAAAAGTAAAGGAACTCAAGGTAAAATAAATTTTATTTGAAAACGTTTCAACTCGAAATACTTTTCTAAAATCATGGTGTTTTTGATGAATTATTTATCATTTTGAATTCTAATATATAGAAATTATAGGTTTTCATAACTCTTAAAAGTATGGAAAAATATTTTTAATAATTAATGGAGTTTAATTGAAATGTTATAAATGCATAATTCAATAAGCCTCAAAATAGAGCTACAACTCAATGAAAATGTTTTGTATAGTTTTCTTTCATAGACTATTATGAATTGCATTTGAAAGCAGTAAAGTTAAATGTACTTACCCTGTGCGTAACCGTGCAGATTCTACTCTACTCTACAATATAGGATAGATAGGAACCATTAATAATTCAATTCGCGATATTTGCACTATTCTTTGGTTATTTGACTTTATTTTGAACCAATCAGTTCATGCCAAAATTTCTTAGTATGAATGAAACTAGGAAATTTCCATTCAAAGCCATGAACATAATTCATCAGACACGTACGTTAATCACACCGGAATATACTCATCCCCAAATATTACTATTCTGCATAATTTGAAATTGAATTCCGACGCCAAGTAAACTGTAATTTCTACCGGTCTTCCCCTTCTTATTGCATTAATTTTCGAGGAAGTTGTGACTGTCTGATACATCTTAACTGCGTAATATGCAAGGCCGCTGACCTGGGGTAGGTGACTGTCTAAAATATGGAACATATTCATGTGTCTAATGGAAAAATAAATCGAGTTCACGAAAATAGCCCTTTATCGAATGTTATCGTTTAATAGAAGTCGCGTTTCAAGAGTTTTTATAGTAAAGTTATATTTATTCGTTGATGATTACTTGGTTCGAACATTAACACATGCAAAGGACAGAACTCTAAATGTTCAGAAGATATTCTGTTACTGATAATAATATTCTTGTTTTTGAGGCAACAAATAACATATAAATTACAAATGAAAGGAATTCAGTAAAAAATGAAATACTGTTCTGTGCAGGTGAAAACACCCCGATCAAAGGTGAACATGCGCATTGTCATAAAATGCAACAGCCCAGTCGTGTTCATCGTGGGCCCTCCGGGTGTAGGCAAGAAGAGACAGGCAAATGCGATCGCCAAGAGGTTCGGGTACGTGCACTTCGACGTCCCAGATTTAGTGAAGGTGGAAGCGATGCAGAACACTCCTCGAGGTAGACACATCAAATCGATTTTGATGAAATCCCGGAAATTTCCGGAGTTCTTGCACCTGGATCTTCTAAAGGAAGCTATGGCTCAGTCTGCGAATCGTGGTATTGTAGGTAACATTCGTATATGTAATCCTTTGTATTGTGATTCTTGTTGGGTAATCTCCTGTTACTTTAATGACATTAGTGTAGAAACCGACCGATGTGGCTAAGATGGTGTACCGATTCAGCGCTTCGGTCTGAAGGGTCGCGGGTTTGATTCCCACCTTTGGCATGCCCCCCCGTCTGTTGTCGTGGAGAGCTTTGCTTTCTTTTAACCCCAGATCAGAGGAGTCAGCACGTGTGTTGGTGTGTAGTGTATGGTCGAATGTGTGTCCCATCTGGGTGTAAAAGAAAACGGCTGTCGGCTGAACAAAAAACCTAGGAAAAAATAAATTAGATAACATTTGAGGTATAAATCTCTTCTCAAGTTAATCGAATAAGTGCAAATTTCGTGGCATTTACTTTGCGCGAAATCTAAATTCTGAATTCAAGTAAGTGTAATGGAGAACATCACATTGCATATAAAATACGAGAAGCAAAGGCCTTACACATATTTAAGTTGACACATGTCTCACCCGTAAGAAAAGGACACCACTCAAAACCTTTAAATTTTACAGGAGAAGCAGAAGAAAATTAACGGTTTCTTTTGAATTATGATAAAAAATATATTGGTTTCCCTCAAAACTACATTTATAAAACCTTTCCAGTATTATATCACATTTAGAACGGACTTATTTCTGAAATACATTGCAAAACGATTTTTTTAGTTGTGTCTCTTTTCTTGCGGTTAAGCGACATGTATCATTATTAAAATTTTTATGAATTGAAATCAGTTTCAAAAATGAGATATTACTCTTAAGAGTGCTCGTTTACCATATGTTTGTCCATATTGTTCATGTAGTTCGTTTGAACTAACAACGTTCGTTTGGAAGTTATCCTGAAAGTGGTAAACAAATGTTTACAAAATTTCAGTGGTCACTATATGACCAGAGCAGTTACAAAGCAATCTTAAATAAAAAAACACAAAACAACACGTTTCTTTTGCTACGGTATTCTTAATGAAGTTTTCATAACCATTTGCAGTGGTAAGCCGTTTTTAACTGATTTCTACAGCGTTCTGTTTCTGATTGTCAGTTAACCAACGTTCAGAATTTTGCGCTCACACATTGCATATAGTTTTTCAGTCAAATTCAGTCAAGAATGATTCTATGCTGAAGTTTGTCAGTCAAGAATTATTCTATGCTGATAGTCACGTTGTTATCTTTTCGAAAATGTAGATGATTTCCGTCAATCAGACCGCGAACTCTCTGGAATGTGGTATGTCATGCTTGGGATCCCCATCGACCGACATACTGATCTCATACCATTCCTAGCTCTGCGTTCAACTTGCACAGTATTTCCATTACGCTTGGTTAAGCAACTGAAATGTCGCTGCGAAATGTTTTGCCCAGTTTGTAGCAAAATTTCACACACACACACACACGCGCGCGCGCGCGACTTTTTTGAAGCTGTTTCATTGTCACTTTGTTACTAATTCGACTAAATTGATGCGCACGAACTCACTTTAGCGGCTACAGCTCAATGACTAATGAGAGAACAAAACGAGGAAAGTTGCAGTTTCCGATTAAATATGCCACTAGGCTCGCTCAGTAGTCCTTTCGCATAGATTCCTTAGATAAAGAACGTAACACATTACTTTACGCCGCCGATTTTGCCATTTTATATCCAGTTCTCCGAAATTAATGATTCATCATTCCTTCGTAAATAAGTTCGTTTAAAAAGTCATTATTACTTTCGTGATTCGGACTAGAGAGAAAGTTGTGTAATGCGACAGGAAAATTACTGCTAATTTTTGGCAGAAAACTCTTATTACCGTGCCATGGTAACGATGAAATGGATAAATCCAGTCGCTGAATTTAGAAAAATAAAATTCTCTAACACATGGTGTGCCCAGAATCCGTTTTGTGGATCCTTGATACTGAAAAATCGGCTGACGGCAAAACGATGTCTGTAAAGAACTGCAGACACCGTCCGTCTGTGATCAACTCTGGCTTCTAATCCGTTCGGCCGATTTTCTCCAAAATAATTTCATAGAATTTTCATTTTTGATAGTGATATTTCCCAATCGTTATGGCTAATGTCACGGCCCCCGTGAATTTAAAACCGATATTATAATTTTGAGGGGTAATTTACATTAAGCCACTGGGACATTTTCAAAAAAGAAAAATGGCTTCATAGTTTTGGATTAAATTTTGTTGTTGGAGAGTGGACGTTTAAGGGAATGGTGCTGATCTCATTTTTCCTCGAAAACTTGATTTTTCGAAGAATGCTTTCGGCGCCTTTCTACACCTACAATTACGAAGATAGATTTTTTTCATTATTGAAAGCTGCTTCTTCTAGATAAATTTTGAAATAAGATCAAGAACAAATTTCCGACAATTTGAGTATTTTTCACGTAATTTTGCATGAAAGTACGTGCTGTTTTGAAGTATCTTCCTTTTATAGACGAGTTTTCAAATAAGGCCATTAACAATTTTCCGACTGTTCGAGTACTTCTTAAGTACTTTTGCATGAAACTGCCCTCCCTTCCCGTTCCCCATGCCGCCGCCGCGTGGCCGCGTGGCGCGTGTTGCAGAAGCCGGCGGCGTGGCTGGTGACGGGCTTCCCGTGCCTGCTGCAGGAGGCGCTCATGTTCGAGGAGGAGGTGGGGCGCGTTTCGCTGCTCGTGCACCTCTCCGGCGACCTCCGCCTGCTGCTCAAGATCATCAACCGGAACTACCACGCCAGAGGCACGCGTGCTTAGGCTGCTGTCCGCGCGTGGACTCTTTGTTTATATTATATTTTATTCTCTCTCTCCCTCTCTCTCTCTCTGTCTCTCTCTCTGTCTCTCTCTATCTCTCTCTATCTCTCGCTGTCTCTCTCTCTATCTCTCTCTATCTTTCTCTCTCTCTATCTCTCTCTATCTCTCTCTTTCTCTCTCTATCTATCTCTATATCTCTCTCATTACATGCAATTAAAATTAACAATATTTCATTTCCTGAATAAACCTTGATGAAATTCGGGAGAAGAACGCTTGGAATGATACAAACATAATATAACCTATTTAATATTCGGGAGAAATAATTGAAGTCAATATGCATCTGAGAGAAGTAGATTGTACGCCTTGTTTAATTTTTTCTGTCTGATTTAAATAATATGGTATAAAGAAATATCGTACATTTGTCCAAGTATTTTATCATCAATAGAAAAGTAAAAACTCGAACTATGACAAGCTCTTTCTGATCAATGAACGCTTACAAATAAATAGATTATTTAAAATCATGAAAAGTCTAAGAAAAAAATATTTTAACGAAATATTCAAAATACGCTCCTATAATTTCACCAATATGCAACAACGGGAAAAATAGGTAAAATATGGCCAAACACGCTCTAGCATATTAATATACGTAGCATTCAACTCTATCCAAATATCAAGAAATTTCACTTAGCTATGCTATGAAGCAACGGACAAAAATATTCAAAATCATAGAAATCTGCTCCCTAGTCATTGGTGACGTGAGTGTATTGTAGGTGATATCCCTGCAGGTGGAGGTGTAACCCCTGCTGGAAGTGATATCCAGTATCCATCTTCATGCGGAGTTGGTTGTTTTTGTCCAAGAAAAAGATCGCGCGTGGACTGTTTTCTGTTCTCTATGATATTGCCCCCGGCAATCGCCAACTATTCATACGAAGCACGACGGAAAACTACTGATCAGAGCATACCTCAGCTACAAGTCTCTTCCTTGGCTGCGTTTGATCTATACACCGATTTTTACATAGTGGCACCTGAGGCTCACGAGCTGGTCGGAGAGGGGGAAACTGTCATCCAATCTGAACGACTGAAAGTTTTTGTGTTTGTACTCCTGATTGGATGACGAATTTCCATTCCTCTCCTTCCAGCTCGTGACCTTGAAGTGCCACTATGTCGGAGTTACATCGGAGTTAAGCTAGAACCCAATCGGCCATTGCCGGGTCTAGAACCATTTGTTTAGAGAAGTTATAATGGCCACAAGCGTTGTCCTGATCCTGATGTAGCAAACAAAATACTCAACAAAAAGCACAGAAAAACATTAATTAGCATCACCTGCTTATTGATAATTTAAATTGGGTATTCAGTTCACGTAGGTTCAGCAGAGTAGGGTGTGAGTTTTCCTTCACATTGTAGTTTTTCACATCCTCCAGTAGTTAAGGCAATGTAGGGTCGCTTTATGAAGCGGCAAACTCTTATAAACCATGCTCATGAATACAAAAATTACTTCCGTAAAACTCCTTCTTCACTTCACTAATATTATTTTCTCGTAGATGTACGTACGGAATAATATATGTAGTATAGAAAAAGTTATGAAATGCTGCGGCAAAAAACGGCAAGTTTTGCCATTAAAATCTCGTATGGAGGGACTCTAATACAGAAATATGGTAAAGTCTTGTTTCGATATATAGTAAATTACTTCCTCTAACATGTTACGTAGTCAGCTTTCACGAATTGTGGGTGCTGGATAACGGAAAAGAGCTTTTTCAAAATCGCCGTCCGTCTATCCTTATGTAGTCTGTGAACAACACAATCGCCTAATTAATTTTTAGGATTTAAAAAAAATGTTATTTGGTGGAAATGACCCCATTTAAAAAACTTTGATTTAGAAAAATATTCTTTAAATTTTTGGTGTACTTTACTTAAAGCCCATGGAACCAAACATTTGTTATTGCATTATTGCATTTGTGAGTACAACAGCTTCAAATGATGTCTTATAAAGATTTATATTTCTCTGAAAATGAGCTCAAAATTCTGCATTTCATAGAAAATCCTTAACATTGGTATTGTCGTGAGTTTTCGTTGGCATTTACAATGAAATAATTATATGAGTCAACTTACATTTTAATGTTTTCTGTTTCAAAATTTCCATGTTCTAATTCAATTTCTTTCACTTTCACTGTACTATTAATTGATTAAACACCCCATTTCTTTCTTTCAGTTCTTAAAATAATAAATATTTTTTTCTAAAAATTGTATTTTATTATTAATATGTTATTATAATTTTGTTGTGAAATCATGATATTCCCGTTTTAATGGTTTTCTTTCTTGGGCTGAAAAACTGATGATGATGGCTAAGCTATCGAAAGCTGCTATTGTAATAAATAATATTGTTGGTAATGACGACTCATATAATTATTTCAAATTTCCAAACGCTACTCTCACATACGTAATTTTTTCTTTCAAACTTTCCTACTGATAGCAGGGAATTCTACTTCGATGTATTGTTTCGTTTTTTAATCTACAAATATATTTTTTTAAATATTTATCACGTCGCTAATATTTACTATAGGGGACTTTTTGTGCATTATTTTTTGTAAGCACATGTCCTTGTAATGATTTCTTATGAAATTTCTTGATTACTCAAAAATTTTGTGTAAAACTGAGCTTAAAAATGCGGATTTTCAGAAACATCTAAAATATAGAACTTTTCTTGAAACTCCCCCGGATTTTTCTATAAAAATATAGAAGTAGGACCAGATTTTACGCAGCTGCCTGTGTGATTGGGAGATGTCATAGGCACAGGCATCTGCGTTTCGGCCACCATTCTGCGTCCTTCTTCAGGGCAAAAATTCTCCCTGACCATTTCGATCTGAAGAAGATCGTTTAACGGCGGCCGAAACGTTGGCACCTGTGTAATCAAAAGCCCATAGTACAGTGTACTTTCGGATTACGTCACGTTTTTAATATCGTTGACAATATTTTGACACCTGTCTTGATCGTTTACGGCGTTCGCGTGTGCGTAATAAAAACGTTGACGGACGAATCGGTTGCCGGCAGGCGTGAAAATCCCGTCGCGCCTTCGAGAGCACCTCATCATGTTCGGGGAACACCTGATGCCGCTGCTGGCTGCCTACGACGACCGCGTGGAGCAGGTGGTGCTGGTGGAGAACGAGGATTTGGTGCGTTGGTTTGCGTTCTGGAACGCTTTGCTTCCGCGAAATTGTTTTAATGACATGATATGCGGTTTCGGTTTGCGCATCGGACTGTTTTACCCATTCGTGGGTTTAAGTACAACCGATGCTAGGTATTTTTAAGGGCAAAACGACATTTCTTTGAAAGGGACGAAAAGCCGGCTGTACCCTGTCGTAGATTTATTGCATGTAAAAGGTCCTGAAGCTTAAAGACGCTTCTGAGCTAAATTATAATCACCTGATTCAACTCTCGAGTGATACTTTCTTTGCTAAATGGTGAAAGGAAAATACTCATATGCGTAGTCAAGCGGAAGAGCAATCCTATCGGCTTTAAGCCTACTCACATAAAATAAAGCACCATTGATTGGTTGACTGTTAACCAAACTAAATAGTCTATTTGGGTGGTCAGCAAGCACAAGTCTAGACTTTTAGTTCGCTGGTTTTAGTTTTTAATAGCGGCACGAATACCATACTCCTTTATAATGCTCTTGGTCGCCGGGTGACGCCAAGTCGAAGGCTGAAATGCCGTTATTTCGACCATCCTGTTCGTAGTTCAGTCTTGAGGAAAGATCAGTGCATCAACTGATGTTACTGCAGCTCCTCTGACCGGGAGGTCCTATTTGCGGGTCCCGACAATGGCAGGATTTTCGACACTAACTATATGCTAGATTCAGTACATTCGCTGTCTGGAGGAGAACTTTATCGTCCGGCTGCTCTGATCGGTAGTTTTCCGTGGTTTCTCCGATCAACATCAAGCGAATGCTGGAGCAGTACTCTAACAAACGGGCCCTGAACCGGGCGCAATCTTTCCTTCTTCTTCCTTCTCCTATCCTCACTCCCTTCCTCCCACACACTTACACTAACATGCACTACACTACCATTCATGCCGGGAGACCGGTCGGGGACTTAGAGCTGGCCCCAGAAGGTGGGAGATAGCTGGTTGGGGAAAACGCGGTAGAGCGACGTCGGATCTGCCATCCAGCGCCATCACCCCCACGAAAACACATGCACCACACTTACGTGACCAATGACCTGTGGTGGACGCGTCCTGAATAACTAACAATCAATCAATAAATTGAAGAATGATTACGACAAGATGGTCGAAACGTCAGCATCACACCCTTCAATCGTCATCCGAACAGCCGAGAGCGTTCACAATACGTTGGCAGCGAAAACATTCCTCATCACGTACCGCATAATAGCATAATAGCATAAGTGAAATCAAATAAATCGTCAGCTTGTCTGGGTAGCCGACATTGGTGAGGCGATGTCTCCTTACCAGAATCGTGTCGAAAGGTCCTAAGTTAGAATCTCGCAGTGGAAATGGATGTTTTGCTTGTATGTTGAAGTATATAGGGTATCACAACTATCACCTTTCACAATCATTCCATCCTCTCAAGAATCGTCTCTGTATACCTGGTCGACTTGTATGGCTAATGGTCTTGAGGTGTTTTCTCCAAGTACGTCATACATCCAGGCTGTGTGTTCGAAATGTGTGTAGAGTGTTGCAGCATAGAATTAATTCTTAGCTTCTCGTGTTTCATCCATGGGTATAAAATCATATCAAAGTTGTTTATAAACTGTTGAAACTGTTAGATGAATGTTTTCTTTTTTTATAATTTACTTAAAACATTCCAAACATTCATAATGAATCGTGTGATAATTCAGTAATATTTTCAATTGCATTAATGCACGCTCTTATATGTGAAATTTTAAATCTTGTTTCTAGAATCTAGTGGTTTTAAATGATGCATCACACAAAATTCCATGATAATTTGCCTTAATCATGAGATATTATTCATACGTAGACAATATTATTCCCCCTTTACATATTATAACAATCATCTTCGTACACAAATCGAAATACTTCTTGGACAAATGCGGCAAAAACAGAAGGAAACCGGAAGTTAAAGATCGAAACGATCACAGTGATAGATGTCGGTTTGCTTTCTTTTTTCCATGAAGATACGGAAGTCATATGCATCTCCTGTTTCTCCTTGTGATGGAACGTAAAAACTGCTAGCGGCGGGCAAACAATACTCCTTCATATTAATAGCATTTATTACACAATTTAACTTTAAAAAACAACCTCCAAAATTTGACCTGGTGTAGGGATTTGCGCTCTAGGAGTGTATTTTAAACATTACGTGAAAAAATTTGACAATAGAAATATATAATTATAATAGGTAGTATGTAGAATAATGACAATAAAAATATATAAATACAATAGTTAGACGAGGTAGAAATAATATAAATAAACTCCGAAAGATTTAAATTGCCGTTTGTATATTAAGAAATACTTTAAAGTCTTTATGTCCGTTTGTACTTCTGGGATACTATCAAGACACACAGAGCTTGAACTGTGTCGTGTTTCGTGTATTTTCCCTCTGCTGTTTGAGCAGTACTTGTGATGCTGCACTTCCTTGAAGTGGAGCTCGCTAGATTGAGAGTATACACTTCCAGAAGACGACGGGTGCAATTTCTTTTAAGGATTCGCAGTTCTCGGAATTTTATCGAAATTGAAATGTACACTTGTATGTTTTCTAAAAAACGTGCGTATTTAATTTTATCGGAAGAACTAGTTCGGCGAAACGTCCGTGAGATACAATTGGTAGTGCCGCGAAGGAAAATATGCCTTTTTTGTATAGACATAAAATTATGTTTGGTGGATAAGTTCAAAAGAACTCGTGTCACAGAGAGAGGAGTCTTCAATTGTGTTTGATGAATGTGCTTTTTCTTTCTTTCGCAAAAAAATAAACACCCCCAGCATGGATGTTTTTTTGTTATTTAAGGTCGCGTCAACTGCTAGGGCACTAACAACCACTATTGCGTGTAACGGTATGGTAATTGCAATGATGACACGATATGGCGATTATAGGGGGTGAATGGACGATCACACCACGCCCGAGGCGGGCTTCGAACCCGCTATCCTTCGGTCTGAGATTTCTACGGCACTACCGCCTTACCGATCTCAGCCATCCGGACCGGAATGGACGTTACGAAAGACGATTCACGTCAAAACGGTTACCAGAACATGTATTGTATTCTGGCAGCTAATCACATTTTGCCCACGTGTATTTGCTGACATTTAGTCTGATGTACACGTAAGCTGCCGCGGCTCGCTCGGATCCATAAATTCTCGGCTATCCGGGAGACGCCACGTCGTTGGCTGGGATGCCGACGTTTCGCCTGACATGTCACAGGCTTCTGCTCTGAGAATTCAGGCATTTAGGCCCGGCTAGCCGAGAATTCAAAGACATTTAGTCCGAACGCCGAGTGCCTTCCGCGAAGCGCGTCTCGCCGATCGGCGCGCGTGGAGCCGCGTTCCGTAGCCGCCGCTGTGCCGCCAGGTGTTCCAAGAGCTGTTCAGCGTGATGGTGCGCTTCGACGCGCGCAAGCCTTCCAACAACCGGCCCACGACGCTGACGCACAAGGCGGTGGAGCGGCGGCGTCGGCGCGTGCGCCACGCGTCCGCCGCGCCGCAGACGCCGTCCCAGGAGATGTTCCTGTACAGCCCCTACGGGCCGCTCGCCACGGGCGCCCGGAGCGCGCGTGCCTCCGCCATGGACGACCGGAGCCTGCAGGACGACCGCAGCGCCCGGGTAATGCGCGACAGCCGACTGCGTAAGCGCAGAACGGGTTAGAAATCGGACTTCGAACGCGCGTGCGCGAGGGCGGGGTGACTCCCACCTCCAACCGCTGCTTCCCCTCAAAATGTCGCTCTCTCACTCACGGCGCGCCAACCGGAAGTGTGTGTGTGTGTGTGTAATGCAGGCTGTTGTGGTTGAACGCGCAGTAGTCAGCTGCACAAGTCAATGACATTTCAGCTGTCTATTCGCAAACACTCACTCTTAATATTCGGTAAAGGTTTTTAAGATTCAGTAAAAGAAACGTATGTATAGAAAGCGTCTGATCCGCAGCTCTATCCGTTTCGTCTTTAAGTGCGTCTTTTTGTGCGGTGTGGTGCGTCTTAACGTAGACCTAATTTCAAGTGAAGCTCAGAGCCGTTATACTGTTCTTATTTGTTTCTAAGACAACCGTTCACAGGTCATGTGGGCTCAACATCAAGCTCCTTTCTTCCATTGCCGATCTCAATCCCATCTAATTAGTTTGGGGGTACATTAAGAATCGTATTGATAAACATATCAATACGATATCTTCGATATCCCTTAGCGAGTTACCAAAAATGTATGCCGCACATTATTTTCTGAATATTATCCATATCAATAGAAGAAGCAAACTATATAAAAACAGACACGATCGTGGCCGAAATTATCGTTTCTTTAAGAGACAGTTCCTCTCAAAACGTCTATGACGTAGGGCAGGCCAGTGCATGTAACGGTATGCGAGGGCACACCATAGCATGCCAGAACAACGTAGAATTGCATTATAGTGAGATATTTTTAGTGAACAGAAATTATTTCGATTTTTCCTTCAAATCAAGATTCTAGTCAGCACGTGTCAAGATTCAAGATTTATTACGATCCCGGGGTAATGAATTGTTAATGAAATCAAAGTACATACATGAATGAGGACATTTCTATTTAAGAGATGTAAAATACATTTCACAAAGATTAATCGAAATTCGATCTTTCAGTCTTTAATTGTTTTCATCAAAAAGCCACAGCTGTAACAGACGGGGCAATTTGTGTGTTTGTTTGTTTGTCATCACAGGAAGAGGAAACCGCGACGCCCGTGCTCGCTCAGCTCGACACCAGGCGAACGGCCTCGAGACCGTCTATGGACCAGGGAATGTTGCAGCGGATGCTCAAATCCTCGATTTCAGACACCGAAGACTCAAGGAACGCGCCGGCCACCCATTCCAAGGACTATGTGGCGATGTTAGACCCAAGTCAGTCGTCGGCGTCAAGTCACAAAGAACAAATGCCGACACATTCAAGTCTGAAAGATCCGAAGAAACCGTCTAAAACAACTCGCAAGAATGTGGTCATACCTCCAAGTCCAAGTGACAGAAGAAAATAGGTTTT